CCTCCGGTGCTTTCCGCTGCTTCTGTTGGCCATATATTTGGCATGAAACAACATAAGTGAATTTCAAGTCGGCTTGAGCACGTGATTCACGGGAAAATCCAAATCCTTGAGTGGTTGCATCAGTTTGAGAATAATCATCAACTACAGACACAAAGTGAAGATATCTAAGATAGACATTTATTCTGAGAAAGAACAAATTACCATTTACCGGCCAAAAGCACATACCTCCCAAGGATCTTCTCTCCAGATAGCTCTGTAACATCAAAGCCCTTCTATAGTACATCATACCACGTACTGCATCTCAGAGGGTGGGGAATGTAGAAAAATAGAAGAAACTATTATTAATGGATCGAAATTCAACCCCAAATACCACATTGACTTGCTGTAAATAGCATGTTCTCAAGGATAACACCGAGAAATTAACCAACATTTATTTATAGTCTTGTAGTATCAGAGCATAAATCTAACCAGTCCTAGCCAGAGTCTGTCCACGATAAGATGCCCAAAAACGAAGCTCCAGAGAATCACTAGAATTTTCTTGGAGATCAGCATCACCGGTGGTCTCTCCTCTTCCAATCCGTTCCAAGAAGTTCTCCCACTCATCTGAGATACAGATAAATTCCCAGTCATGAAGCATAAAGGATAACAGAAGAGAAGTCAGCAGGCATTATTACAATATTAAACATATGTGCATATCAATGAAAGGCAGTAAGGTACGGCATTCACTAGTTTGCAATGAAATCCAAGGGACCCCGGCAAGCAACAGGCAAATGCAAGTTAGAGGCATTGTGCTTTATTATACAGTACATTTGTGCCCGGCCTGTTGGCCAGGTTTATCATTGGACTATTACTTTTTGGAGAGATCGAGCCATATGTCAAGAAGACGAGAACTACCACAATACTCAAGAATGCTCAACACTATTACAGTATAAATTACTAAAAAATCAATACACATTAATCGTTAACTTTCGGTATTTGTAATAATAATTCATTATTCTCATATTAATGCTCAGGTCGGGTTATCATGCGATTTTTTTTCTCGTTAGAGAAATCAGGTCGTTTGTTGAAAACTACCTCAATACTCACGAATGCGCAACCCTATTATGGTATACATTGCTAAATATTCCTTATATATAAATCGTTAACTTCTGGTATTTGTAATAACAATTCATTTATGATTATATCAATGCTCAGTTAAGAGACACAACTGTGTTATCTTAAATTTACAATATCACCTGATCAATAAATATGTAAACTTAATTAAAACTATTATAAACATTGTAAAAATGGAGTGTCATTTTAAATAGAGCGGAAGAAAATCTAAAGAAAACAGGGGAAAAATTGAAGAGAAGTTCATAAAATAAAACGGGCAATCTCCGAAATAATATTGGAGACTTTTGTAAAAATTGTGAGCAAAAACATAAGGGAAAAAAAAAGAATTCCACAAATAAAGAGGAAGCATTCACCGAGAAACCCCTTCATATTATTTAGAGACAATTCTCTAACCAAATGGGAGGTTTAAAGGTAGACAGAATTATTCCCACGATTAATGGAACTGAATGTTTGAATTATATTTTTTAGACATTCTATGCCAATGGGAGGTTCAGCAATCAGTCGTCCACGAAAAAGACATGAGATTGGAGCTATCGTGTAAGAATACAGTTCTGGAGAGGCAGTGCTGAGAAAATGATACAACCACTTCTCCACAATTATAAGTCAAGCACCAATTTACTCAAGTATACACGGCAGGATACAAGTTGAGGGTTTTAGTCCATTATAATGGCAAGTCAGAACAAAAGAAGCATACAGCAAGGGAAACAAGAAGAGCCAACTTTACAGAATATAAATCCAAAAGGAATCCATACCTGGAAAAATTTTCTGGAGATAGAAGAGAGTTGATATTCCATCCTCATTTTCCACCCGCAATTCAGATAAACTATATAGTACCGTCTCGCTGTAGTATGGGGTAAAGACACTGATATGGGGCGGAAATGTTGAATTAAGAAGATGCACTTGCTACCAGAAGAATAGAAAAGGAAAATAAAAATGCACATTTCTCGCATTCTAAATTCTCATAACCTGAAGGGTATCATTTCAGAAACTGGTTTAGGCGAAGGCATATCCATGAACAGTGAATTCGTGAAGAACTCTAGTCTTCTTCTTGCCTCAAGATTCTTTGGAATATTAGAGGCAGAATCCTTTACAGTGAGAAGGAGGTGTAGTCGCTTCACCTGCTCCTTCTGTATCAACAAAACCAATAATAATAAAAATGCAGAGCTGAACAACATGCAAACTAGGATGTACACGAAGAGACCAAATCAAATATGCTTACAATCTCTGGATCTCTTGGCCATTCAATCCTAGAAAATAATCGTCCTTCGTTTCTTGCTTTAGCTAAAATGTTCCAAGTATCAAGTTGCTCCCTGCACACAACAATTCAGCATAAACATTTCTCAAAGATTCATAATTTCTTCAGTAAACATGAGTGATAAGATCCGAAGACATACCTAAGATCAGATGACAGCAAGTCATGAGTAACAACCTCATAGAGTTGATATACAGCATTTGCCGCACCTTTGGCAAGATCAGCAGTCTCATTCCGTATCTGGACAGAAATCATCCATCAGTATCAAATTGACAAGTTCCACAAGAAATACGATGACAGACAAAATTATAAGAAAAGAGACTGGAAACCAAAACCAAAACCAATTTTAACTAGTTTACCAAAAAAACCAAATTCAACTATCCCTGGATGAAGTCTCAGTTCAGCTATATCCATTAAAAACTGCTCAGACATTTGACAGCTATTGATTATAAAGTGGTTTGCTACATCAGTCAATGTCAAACTAAAACACATGGTCTCTAATAACAGCAACAACAACAACAACAAAAACTAAAGCTAGATATATGTATGTTAAGAATTCCGTCATTTTTAATATTACTAGCAAATAATCAAACCACTAGTGCTGTGGCATCATTTTCTATGACAAAGAAGAGTTGAAACCACAGAAAGACATCTGCATTCCCATGCTAGCAGTGCATACAAAAAACAGTCAGAAAGAAGAGCTCAGCATCATTTTCTTTATGAACATGCTGCCTCTTTTTTCTTTTTAACGAAGATATAGCATTTCAAAACTTTCACATACATACCTCGACTCTTATCAGTTATTTCCATGAAAAAACAAACAAATTTAAATGTAGAGATACATATGTTGTGAAATAGAAAGAATGATACACAAATGATACTCCTGAAATGGTGATTTCAACAACAATCAGTTGAGTAGCTTCTAACAACAATGATAGGACCAATTAGAACAAATACCAGTAGGCCAGTGAGTGCAGTGAATCGCGATAACACGAGAGGAAGCTTTTTAAGTGACAAAGTTATGACCAGTGACCCCTCCTGTATACTGTTGTTGATCTCCCGGAAGATCCTTTCAACCCTATTATAAGAAGCAGAAATCATAAACTAATGAAATTGATGCTTCTTCGGTCAAAAATTATTTTACCCAAGTACATGCTTGGTCCAGGAGCAAATTCAACTAGATCTTAACGGAAATTTTGCATAAGGGAAATTTTGCATAAAGAGATACCTACCAAAGTCTCCCTTCACCATCAACCAAGGAATGTAAGATTTTTTCAACACTGTAGTAGCATTCTTGAACAGCATAAGCCATATACTCATCTTTACAGATTCTATTCCACAGATCTGTTTGTGTGTCTTTGCAGTCCAACGCCAAATCAATCGCCAGCAGTATCTGAAAAAGTTTCAGCATAAACTAGTAACAAAACACTAAAAGACAAACTGAAGATGTAGCAAGCATTTAAGAAGCGATCAGTACCTTACTGCTGAGAAGAAACAATGGCCATTGAACTAATCTCAAACTTCCTGTATTGCTAGGAACGGAAAGCAGGTCCATTTCTCTGAAGCATAAACGTCATGCCAAGGAGTAAGAATTCAAAGCATAGAGAAAGAGGGGAAGGGGCGGAGAGAACTATCATGTAGCAGGCATGCCCACCCCTCACCGGTTGCTAATAAAATCCTCCTCTCGCAAACATTTGATAATCTCATTCCAAAAGGGAGAAAACATTGCTGCATAAGCTTTGTTCAAGTCCTGAGATTCCTGTTACACCAAAAGTGAACCAATGGCTTAACTCAAAGTAAAAAAGTCATCCATCGGATGATATGAGTCCATTGCAGCAAACCAATGGAAATACAAACTAGGAAAAAGCCACGAAATAAATTGAACCAAAAACACTATGATCTGGATCTTCATTATTTAGATCAAACTTTGCATGTAAATGTAAAAACGCAGATATTTCCAACAGCCTTGATGCAGTATCACTGGCACTAGCTTTGTCCCAGACTGTTGGCCGGGTGAGTTTCGTGTCTTATCTTATCAATCCAGTAAGTCACAATTATGCTTAAATTATTTTAAATCATTTATATTTTCACAATTCGTTTTTAAGAACATATTTGGGGTCTCTGCATATAGATTTTATGAGATCTTGACTAAGTAACTTTTCTTTTTGAACTAAGCAGTCAACATTCAGACACTATTTTTTTTTTATTATTATTTAAACAAGAAATTCTTCTAAGTTAGACATTCAATTTCTAATTGACGAACATTGGTTTGCGGCTAAGTCTATCGTATGCACATGTTAATCTTTTTCGAGAAAGAAAAAATAAGTCCAATACTATTTATGAAATATTATAGATTGCTAATATGCTAATATTGAAAGCCTTCTCGTTCTCGGCCTAAAGAGTAAAGCTCTTGCGCTCTAATACATGACACATTACATTTAAAAAATTCTACCAGCATTTATCATATGCACTCATAATTGTTCAAACTTTGGAGGTTTAGAAACTTCTATTGTACGAATTTATGTCCAGATTTGTCAATTTAAAGCACTAACATTCATCATTTTATACTAGAGACATGAATCAATATTAGTTCCCAATTGAAATATATATTTCTCATGAAAAAGAAATCCATCTCACGGAATATTGTTCTTTAATAATGAAATAAACCAAACAAACTTTTATGTTTGTTTCAAAATAGTATATTTGAACAACATTCATTTGGTTCACTTTAAACAAAATTTCATCACAAAAGCAAAATACGAAAAAAAATGTTTTGGACTAGAAAAGGGGGGGGAAAGGGATGAGATATTAATAAATAAAGTAGTTATTCTTCAAAGATAAAATTGGAAAACAAACTTGTGAGGAATTAAGGAGAAAAAATAAAATATAATAAAAATAAAGCGGGGGAATAAGAAGACTAGATGTATAGACGAGAGTTACCTGAGATGCTTGTGCATTTAATGGCATCCTGGAATGTGTCAATAAAAACTAATCAATACACGGAAGAGCATAATTATAACACTGAAGGGTGTGAGAAATCATGACACCTTGTTGTAGCCTGAAAGAAACTCTCATCATAACATACGATATATTCTAAGACGGCATAAAGATAAGAAACATCAATAAGCATCATAAAAGACATCTTTACCCTGGAATAACCATAAGATGGAAGAAGATAACAAAATAATAAACATGAATAACACATTAACACGGATAAGGGTAGAACCAGGAAGTTACGCTAAACACAAGGTCAGAACATCTTCAATTCTCTAGGTAATGTAAGAAAGAAGACTTGAGGGATTCCAATTGATAACCCTGAAGAGCTGTAGCTTCCAATAAAAAATAATACAACATTTTAGCCATTTTTCCTATGATTTTACATATGGACAATTCCTCAATATCTTGTTCATTCGCAACAAAATCTTTTCTTTGTGTGGCTGTAAAAAGAGAATTGCCTACAGAAATAAAATCAGACCCCAAAATGGTAGCAATTTTAGTGACAATATAGATTGTCAAAAAAGATATCAAAGTGCCTAATTGCCAATATAACGAACTGAAACTGTTTGGAAAGTCGACAGTAAAAAATGCATAAAAATAGTGGAAAGGTTGGGATTGAGAAACATCAACAGTTCAACAAAACACTATCATCTGTATAATGTCCAAGAAGCTCTACATTTCTATTAAATATTAAATTCCATAAAATAACATCGCAAAAGCTGACAAGAGAAGGAAAACTGATACCTCTTTGCATGTGAAGAAACCAGATTCTTCACGAAGGCAGCTGGGAAGCTCTCAAAGCGTTTGTGAACCATCTCAAGTGTACGTATCTGTCATGTATTAGCAGCAAGGCATTGTAATAATAGAACATCATGAAAAAATGAATGTGCAACAATCACTCTGAAAAAAACTCCTACAGAAGAATAGACATACTAGACCAATGAAATTAAAATTGAATTCACAATTTGCATTGTAATGATACCTCACCCAACCGAGCTCTTGCTCCCATAATTCCACCAATAACAGCTGACAAAAGGGTGTACCAAATGTGGATGTCCATCAGATATATCTGGAGGAAAGCAAGAGAAAATAAGGAAACAGAGTAACTGAGCACAAAAACAAATAGAAAACCCTGTGAACCAAAAGACTAAGATGTAACAGCCGTACTGTCTGCTTTGCTTTGCACAACACAATCAACTAATAAGAAACATAATTATTATGGTAACTCTCCCAGTATCTGGATCATGATTATAAGCAGTTAACACTTAATAAGAGTGTATTTTGACAAATAGAACTGAAAAGTAACACTTCAGGTCTTCGGCAAAAAGAAAGTAGGATTTAAGGAAAAGCTCAGTATCTTCTGACAGTTGATCCAGCTCACCCTTTAATTACCTTAAATTCCAGAATCATATGCAAGAAACTCTTAAGGGGCATACACATTATCTCACATTCAGTAAACAGTATGGAAAGGAAAGTACTCACAGCCACAACAGGAGCCCACAGGCTAACTATGGTCAGCACATTATTATTGTCTGCAAAATAGTAGTGACTGTTAGGATGTGAATTATTAACAACCAACAAGTTTAAAGCTGTCATAGAAGCAACTTCACAGTAGGTAACAGGTACTGCTATCAAGTATCAACAACTTATTTGTCTATTTTCCCAGCCACAAGTAGAAATGCTAATCATTTAGTGTGCCACCCAATGCGGAGGCAGAAAAATAGAAAAGCACCCAGAATAAAGGTCAATAGTTGCTGAAAAAGGCCAATAGTTAAAATATTTAATACTGAATTAAAATAATACAGATTAAGCTCAACTCAATTTGAACAAACTAACAAAAAAATGCTCAACACAAGATATGGCTCCTTTCCATGGGTGCATCAAATAATAATTTACTAAACTACAACAGCAGATAATAAACCAACATGATTCTGGAACTGAAGAAGAAATACATACTCTTTGATACAAAATCATGCCATGAGTATTGCAAACTTGAACTTGGAAAATTCCTGATGATGTTGGTTGGGCTCACAAGAGGTCTAATCTGATGAGGTTCAATTTTAAGATGTTAAAATGGAGGTTGTAAGAACATGTGCTTCGCGACTGAAATTGATTTCAGTTAAGAGTGGTGTGTATGGTTAAGAATGACAACTTGCCTGGAGAAAGTATGTAAACGTGAATTTGCAGGCAAATATCACCAGCCAAAACATGACATACCTGAAAAGAATATTTGCAGTACAGAAGAAAACTCAAATTTATAATCAGAAAGACATCTTCAAAACATTAAGATGATGGACCCATATACTAGAGCATTTGCCAATAAAGTTTAGAATATGGTTTCAAGCATTAATAGCCCCAAAAATTAGATTAAAATGTTTGATGGTGAATAACGGGGTTTGGGGCAGTCACTAGTTCAACTTCTATCCAACCGCTTATGAAAGTTATTCATCATATTCATGTTCAGAAAAGTATTTGGTTTGGTTTACTTTCTTTTATGAAAGGTAAGTTGTGTTTATGCATGTGTTCTTTGCCAAAATTCCATGGTATTTTGTATTTACTTCACATGCTCTTTAAGTTCGATGCATTTGTAGAATCGTAATGTGTTTATATGGAGTACTGTTGCAGAAAATCTAAAAAAGACATGGGACCAATATCTCCAATGCATTTGACAAATACCTCCTTCCTCCACGTATTTTAAATTCACTACTCTGGTGCATGTAAGATTATCTAGTTTATATCGGCTAGACTCAATTACATCATATGTACTCAAGCAAAACAGTATGATTCTTCAAATTCACTACTCTGGTGAATGTAAGATTATCTAGTTTATATCAGCTAGACTCAATTACATCATATGTGCTCAAGCAAAACAGTATGATTCTTCAACTAGATGCTATTGCAAATAGCATTGCATGAAATAATACTTAATCAAACCAACCCTAAGACAGAACGTTAATGTTAACACCGGCCAGATACTTCAAACTTTCTTGAACACGGCAGTATATGTCCAACCGCTAAACTAGATCCAAACGTTCCCCGGAATTACCGAAATGCGTGAAACTTGTGAACTTTATTGCAACAGAAATGCACTGAAAACATGTACAAGTAACTTACCTACAATAATCACCCATCCTCTCATAAAGCCCACGTCCAACATAGTATCTTTCCTGAATCAAAAAGTTTTACTTCACCATAAGATAAACATTTCACCAGTAAACAAATCTGCACATAATAGAAATCAAAGCGAACATCTTGTGGAAGCTAAATACACAATGCGCACCTGATAAATCCACTTAAAAAATTGGAAGAATGATTGATCAGATATGTCTGAGAGAGTATGGCAGGCTGGAAATTTAAGTAGCAATGCAAACACCAAGCGCAGAGCCGTATAACCGCCCAAGACCAGTATATATATCCGGAAATAGAAAGAATTTGATGATCCCCGGCTATTCCTCTCATCAAGAACCTTCCTGTCATAATTGAATGAAGTCAGAAGCTAATAGTAAAATTCATGGCAAGGAAAAAGATAAGACTGAACACCAAACCAACAATAACAGGTATGTCATCTTAAGACGGATGGCCTATAAGAAAGTTGATGAAAATTCCAAAACACTGTAGCAATAAACCCTGTGATCATCACCCATGAAAGTAGATAAACTTCACAAGGACACTCACACGTAAAGATAGGTTATAGCCACAGAGGTCACAGCACCCCAGAAAAACCTAATGACTAGCCTGGAAATTGCCATGCCCCTTGCTGTTGTATAAGCACCAAACATGAGAAGGACATCCAGACAGCCTGCGAATGGAGCAGAAAAACAATAAGCAAAAGAGAAGATGTGACACAAAAATATTCTTCTGAAAAATTTGATGGGCAAATATGAACCTACTCTTTATAAAGTTCATGATGGCAAATGAAGGACCCACACTCAGGATCACTTTAAATGTTTCCAAATTGATTTTCCCATGATTGAAGGCTATAATCGTCAATGCCTGCACTTGATGAAATGAACAAGGAATTTTGCAAGATTAGATTCCTCAACAAAGAGAAGAATGCTGAGACTAACAAGCACAAAGCTGACCTGGAACATCAGAGCCAAAAAAATCCAGAGCCGATGGAAGCTTCGGTACAAGTGAAGAAATGTACGATGCTCAACGAAAGTGCTTTTGCCAGTCTGCCAGTTTATGACAAGAATAAAACAGGTACATAGGTTGCACAAGAAATAGAGACACGTAACAGAAACTCCATCCGATTAATGAGCCTCATGGGACATGACAAAACAAAATATATAAGAAGGCTTGACCATCAGTTACGCTTCCTTTCATGCCCTAAGGAGTATCTGGAAGTACTACTAAGACTATGTTCATTACAAACCAACACAAACATATGACTATAATCTACAATACAGTAATATAAGACCAAGAAATTAGACGAGAAAATATACGACTGGAAAAGCAGGTGTGGAGAAGAGAAACAATTCTACCAAATTTTAGGCTGACAGTGCAATCCACAACTTGGAAAACTGAACTATTATCACAGTAGCAGCATTGCAAAAAGGAAACCTAATTTGAAACTTCTTGTATTTACATGTCAAACTTTGACGGTAAAATACGCTACTCATTCCCTTACCTCTATGCTTGCCACAGCAATTGCAAGCAAGTAGAAAGTACTCTCCAAATTAAACTTAACAGAATTTCGAGACAGCCTCCATGCAAGAAGTTGCAAGTAGTAACAAGGTTTGTGCTTCGACGACAGACTTTAAACAAATTGTGAATGAACACGAGTCGAAGCAAAACTTACCCTTTTCCACTTTTTAGGCTTCGTTAAAAACGAAGAATCTTTCCTCATAGGCCACCGCAACTCAAAGCAAGCAGGTGACCTATATTGGCATTCCATATCAGAACATAACCACTAGACAAGGCTTTAAAAACTGTTTAGTTGGGTGTCAGAAAGTATACCAAAAGTATTCGTTGAAGTCATCATAGTTTCTCCACGCAGAGTGTGCAGCTTTTCCATTATTATTTCTTCCCACTTCCTGCCAAAGTTTACCATACAATCCATAAGCAGAATGGTTACACAAATTCACTAAAAGAGTAGCCTAAAGTACACAGCTAAGTGGGAACTGCAACCACTCTAAATTCAACTGCAACCAATAAAACAACAAAATTGCATCAACCAAGGAAATCCTCAGACAACAAATAAACCCGTCCTTTTAAGGAGCGCAAGAAGGATAGCCCTGCTCCTGTCATTCATCAAAATGAAACTTGGTACTTTGACACTGTTATTTCACCACCGCAGCGCCTCCTCTAAACATATATGCAATCCATCAACGGGGTAACAACATTAAGACATTTTTAATGGGGGGTTTAAATACTGATCCATGAAGTAGATAATATCCATAATTAAACGTAAGCATTCAAGTAAGCATGCTGGATGAATATAGCTACAAATATTCACTGAGCAAAAAAAGATGACTAATCACACTATCAAACCCCCTAACTTAAGATCCATTGAGGATAGGACACAACGAGCAGTTATAACCTGTAAGCAACTTCACCCAAGCCAAACCAATCACGACCTCAGCAATTTAGTAATTCACCAACACAACTCTCATACCCAAAACTATTGCTTTAACAAAAATAACACAGCTGCATGAGCCCCAAACTAACCCAATAAAACCATATTATTTCTCCAGCTAGACTTTGAAAAGCCTTTCAGTTGCTCTAGCCATGGTTCTTTCCAAATACCCACTAGGAAAATTCATTCCCCACTCAGCTTAATCAAGCAAAATTGATAAAGCTGAAAACAGAACTCAAAGGAAACCATTTTCTCATAGGTAATCATGTCTCTTACAAAAAATGCATTCAATGATTACAAAATAATTTTTTCACATATAAACCATACAAGAACGACAAGCAGAGCAATTTAGATGGCTGTACTTATTCTTCAAACTTTTATGTGTCATTTGTACTACCTAATTAAAGCAAACAGAAGACTATGAAATCAGTTGAATAAGAAGATGACAAAATACACACCAAATCGCCAGACTGACTACATTCAGGCTCAGAGTTCCACTAGATCAAAGATAGCTGAAAGACACTAATAAGGTAAAGAGAAGGACCAGTGAGACATCCTTATACAGTTATACTATCTTCGGAACGAATTCGGCAATGTAAAAATGGTAGAGGAAAAGGAATCAAATCAAGAGCACCAAAATTAAGCACAATTGGCTGCTCTGTGGAGCACGTAATGACGTATGATTCAAGTTTCAACATTAAATAGACCAAATGTCAGTGAACCCACTATCAAAATCATATTGTACTTACCTCTGCCATCGTTTCATATATCGGGAGAATCACTTGCTCAATGAAGGACACACAACCACTTTCATTTTTGCAGCTAGGGGCATGATCAGCTTCTCCATGATCAAGAACAGCATCAAGCTCTTTTGCCATCTGAAAAATAAAAGAGGGGCAAACGAAGATATCACTTCCATGTTCTCACGATAAGAAATGTGAAACACTTGCCAAGGATGCTATTGCAGATTTGACAACTACTTCTTTAACTCCTACTCATTAAAGTTTCTTCTCCTTTGCGGTTTTTAGGGTTCAAAGTATTTTTCTTCTTCCCACTACTGTTGTAGAGAACAATAAATCCTAGCTCCCTCTTCCATTCCTTAGGGTTGAGTATTTACAGGCCAAAGATCACTGTATGCTATTCTCAGATTCAACAAGCAAAAAGGAATTTTGTTTCAGGTAGCCTATGCGCCTTCAAAGACCAGAGAAAAGAAAGAGATGCAGCAATGTGGTTCCAGCTAAGTTCCACAGTTTGGCAACCACCTTCCAAGTAAAGATACCTGACCAGTATTTATGGTCCATCCAACTACAGCGTCACTACTGTGTTGCCATGAGGATGAATTGTAGCCAATAAATTCATTGTATATTAGTTTGCCATGGGTATGATGTAAGCAAACTAGTCCATAAATAATGTAGAAAATGGAGATGGACATCATCAGAACATCACCCAAACAGCTGCCGAGGAAAGCAGCAAGATCCACATACTTAACCATGACTCAAGCCAATAGTAAGTGGAATGGAGAGTAAATGTAATTCAACAAGAAAAAGGGACATATTTGCAATTGGACCTTATTCCATCCGAATGTAAGAAAATCACACTAAAGTGCACAAAGAGAATACTTACATGGTGAAATATATAGCAAATGCACTCAGGTAGAAAACGAACATTTGCAGCTTCACCCCATATGAGAAAGTACAACGAAACCAGGAAGAGCTTCCTCTCCCTATTAATTGCTTGATTACTGTAGCAAGCAAATAAAAAGTGTAATTAGAAGGCAGACAATGAGTTCTTTGACAACGTAAACTCATGGTTCAGTAGCAACCTGTTCCAAGCAAGACGTATGCGCAGGTATTTGCACCACTTAATATAATTGTCCAGCACCTTCAAGAAAACCTCGTTGATTGCCTTTTCATCTATTTTCTGCAAACAAGTATATAAGAGCATGAAAACATAACTACTTGATTCCAGCAGAATGCAAATAATCCATCCATGTTTTCCGGTCTCAATAACAGAACGTCCCCGAAGCAGGTAACACGTAATTACTCTGCAAATATGCAATAAAAATCTAACAATTCCTTGTGCCTACTAATTATACATATCAAAAGAATCTATAAGAGACCTTGTCTAGTTCGGTGAACATTACAAGACAAATAAAAAAAACAAGGCATTTTTCTTTTGTCTTTGATCTGGGTTGCAGTGAAGAAGTCCTTCTGTACAGAGCGGCACTTGTATCGATGATTTCATAAATTACAGAAGTCCATGGAAGCTCTAAGCCAGCCAGACACATTACACAAGACAGAAACTCGAGATAGGAACCGCAGATGGATAAAAAAATTGTTATAACAGGATTGATTAACCGAAGCACTCACAGGATCAGCTTGGGCAGGTATGCCAAGTCGAGACTGTGCATTTGCAATCAGAAGGACAACATTCTCCCTTTGGTTTGTGACATTGCCTTTCTGCAGAAATAAGGAAGTCAGCTATGAATGAATCTATCATATCACAAGGTTGAACTCCTTAGCTTTATTCACAGAACCATTAAAAATGCTTGGTCAGTAACCACACATGTCAATAGAGACATACTAGTTTTTTAGAATATTAGCCAAATGACAAGTTCAAACCTTTTCCCTTACTACCCATTCTTTACATAATTATACATTATATGAAACCCCCTCAGAAAGAGATTGCAGCAATCACATTAGTAGCTATAAGTATAGTCCCAAGAAATGTCTGCTTGATGGATGACTGCTAGATTCTTGCACCAATGGCAAATAGTCTAAACCCTAAAGTGAGAAATTCAATCCGGATTAAGCTTTATCCCAATTTTATACATTCAATGAATTCAAAACACTGTTGGATGATTGATTGTCAGCATAGACATTCCCTTGATGGTGACCGCCTACAGATTCTAGCAAGCTCAAGGAACTAACTCTGCTTAGGACCAAATCACATCATCATAGCTCATCTGACCAAGGAACTGCCTGGAGTACTGAGCACCCCAAACATGAAACATAAAGGTTTCAGGAAATAAACCAAGACCAGAAGAAATACACAGAACCAAAAGTTCATACCAGCCAGGACAAAACATCAGCACATATCTACTGTGAAGTGCTCCCAATGTGCTGTTGTCCACAAAGCAAATTTAATGAAGCAACTCAAATTAAAGACAACCCCACTATAAGTTTCTTAAGAGAAATAAACCCACTATCAGCTAAACATACTCACAAACATTGCCTAAACATAGCAGTAAGACAACAAAATTTATCTTAGGAGCACATCACTTCATTTAAGTTTTCAACAAGGTTGAATGAACAGCAACAAGCACAGATGAGAGCTTGGAGGGGAACGGAAAAAAATACCAATCAACAAGCTTAAACAAGAGGACGCATTTAACTATAGATGCTTAAGTATCAATCTGGACCACAATACAGAATTGACATGAATTTTAATCAAAAAAGAATGTACAAACCTGAAAACCAAACACATACTCCAGAAGATCAAACATGTCAGCATCGCGTTCTCCAGAGATCTCATATTCAGAAGGGAGCCTAGGGAAGTGTTCAGTGTATCTGATTGCAGATATTGCACCTCTGACCTGGATATAACCCCAATACAAAGGATTACATAGGGAAATTTCTGGCTTAAGTAAATTGCATAACAGTCACATCTTGAATGCAAAATCCAGGTAGAACGGGTAAAGTGTGGAGCATGATGGAGAAAAAAGCAATCATCAGTTCGTATCACATGAGATGAAAAGACATCAGAGTACAGCTAGTTTTCACATAAGTTCCCAAGGATCAACTTACTTCAGGAAATACTCCGATAGCATTGGTCAATGATGGTGATTCAAGAGGAACAATGTTGTAGGGCGTGAGTTCCCCAACCTTTTTAATTCTTCGAAGCTGGAAAGATAGTATAAAGTTGCATCAGTAAATTACTGTCCTCGACTAAATATTCATTTTTGGGAAGAAATTTCAAAGACAGCATCACATTTTCCTTTTTACTCCTGTAGCTTCACGACAATAGTTCTTACAGAGTAAAGGGTGCTTTGCACCCTTTTTATAACAAAAATATTAAGGAAGCTACATCACAAGCAACAGGTTGTTCAAATTATGCATAAACTTACAGCTCAGACACAACAGAATAGCCAAATAACAGACAAATACCTCCTCCATGATCGGCTTTCCCACACCACGAGGATCAGCATCTTTGCAAAGAGCTTCCATAACATCTACCAACGCCCTCAAAGTTGAAAATATCTTTTTCATCTCTAGAGAGCGCAGCTCCAATCTAAATGGCAAAACTTTAAGTTGATGAGGCAAATCCAGGTGATGTTATTCGAACAAGAAAAGAAACAATCATCATTGTTACTTCCAGTTTCACGAGCCTAGATAAAGCATAATTATTGCAAGCAGATTCAGATTACGAATGCCTCAAGCCAACTTCTATTTCCCTTATAGGGAAAGCATCAGAGACAAATGTTCACTAATAAAGTGATTGTGTGTTGCATCAGACGTCTCTTAATTCATCCTAATAACAGAGAATCTAAAGCGCACATAACGATGATACATAAACCATAATATAAAGAGAACCTGGAAGTAAAAGGTTACACCTCACAGTCGAGTATGGGCTTCGAATGAAGAAAAATAAGCAGACTATTGGTCCTACCTTGCATGAGAGTCAACTCTTTAATCAAAATGTGAGTTCTACTGCCACCTAATGTGAAGTTATGGGTCCTAGAGGTGCTATTGCAAACCTTCCTCATCCGTAGATATTTTTGAGACCAAGTTGATTAAGTTCTCACACATCTAATCAGCTAGCATTCACAAAAGTCTACCCTTTTAGCTACTTTGTACTTCCAAGATTCAAAAAAAAATTGAAAATATTATTCCCCAGCACTGTAAGGCAAAGTGCAAGTTGTGTGTCGAGTTTCGCTTAAACAGAGAAATAGTGTTGTATGTTGTTTGCGAGTTCCCCTGCCTTAAAAGGTAAAGTTATCTTTTACAGCTAACAGAAGATACTTGCGGATCCAGAGAAGCCAAAAGATAAAAAAAATAATAATAAGTATGTATCTAAATAGATGTAAGATGGGAATGACTTTGCACATACTCTCCCAGATTAGCCGTAGAAAATGTTCCAGATTCCCGCCACTTCTGTTCCTCTCTTTGGATGTCATCCACTCTGTGCTGTCTCTTGTACCGCTGGTAGAATTCCCAGAGGTGTTCGATGTCACGATTGCGATCTATTGGCGCACCATCTCTTTTAGCAAGCTTTTGCTGCAGCAAATAATTATTTCTAATAAAAACTCCAAAAAACTTGATTTGATCTGCATGATTAAGCAACTTTCTCGTATCTAAGAACTACACTAGAATAGCAGCACAAACATAGCCTTCACCAAACTAAGTTATACGCAAACTTTAGCAATAAGGTTAAACATACCTTGATCACAGACATCAAGCCAGTCTTGAACTGGAGAACACCACGGCCACCACTATTTGGGTCCAAGTTCTGTGCCATACTATATGCTTGTTCGCACACTGAAATCAAAAATAAAGTTCTATTGTCAGAAACAGATTGAAACCAAATGTTGCAGAAAGACTTGAGCTCCACATTTCCCTAATGACCTCCAGACAAGATAGTATCATCTAACTGAGACAGAATTGTAGAAGAAAGACAAGTAGCATGCAAAAGGTCAAATTCCTTAACACACATAGAAATCAATGTATGATCACACAAACTGTTTAGTACATTGGGACATGTGAACCCACTGCATGTATCTATTCGTTTCTCAGATTCCACTGTTCCAAAATCATCATATGCTCAACCAAGAATTGTAATAGTCACGCTAGAGCACATATTACCAGAGCAACATGAAACTATTCATAGAACCAGAGCAGCTGGACAGCCATTGGGCATCATTATTCCAATGTCATTAATGGCCATCATTATTTTTAAGATAATCCTAATACCGCTAACACCCTTTCCTACTGGTAGCATGCCTCTTACACATTTTGAATCGACAAGCACTGCTCCAGAAAGGACATGAGTCTGCTTCAAGAATGTAGCGACTAGACAGATTAAAAACTATCTTAAAATTCGAGACTTAAATACAAGGTGGCATCAAACACTACGATTTCGTAAATCTTTTGAATAACATTTCTAAATATGTTCTCCATTACTAAAACAGCGCTCAAACAACATCTTGAACTCCATTGGACCACTACCAAAACGTAAACAAGCCTCTTCCTCCCTTAACCTGCTAATTGCAAATACAACACTCAACATTCTGACGCCAGTACACTAAGCCAAGATCAAAGTTCTAGCGATACCATTAACTAGAGGTCCAGATGCATTTTCATCCAGAAACATACAGAGAGCAAGAAATTTTTAAGACTTACAAATCCTGGCAACATTTGGGTCATCAGCTTGAATCTCATCGGCAGCCTGCAGTATGGCGTCAATATTCGTCGTGCGTACGAGAGAAGGCGGAACGGCGCCAGCAATGCCACTGCCGGATCTCTCGGGCCCTTGCCCAGCACTCCTCAGCTGCTCCTGCTTCAAGGTGGCGCGGACCAACCTCTCCCAATTATCGTAAACCCTAGGCATCTCTGCAACGAAGGATCAAATAAAGCAAAATTCCTAGATTCGACAACACTTCCAAGACTTCACCCGGGGAATTCGATCCAAAACCCCCAGTTCGATGTCGAAAATCAAATCAACGAGGGAGAAAGACTTGTGGAGAAACGCCAGCTTCTAAACTGAGGAAAACCCATAGTTGAAGAAACGCGGAGACGGAGGGTAACTAGCTGTAAGAAAGTGTGAAAGAGAAAAGTAGTAACAGAACTAAGGGAAAAGTACTAGCAGAAGTCGAGAAAGAGTGCAGAAGAGAATCTAACCAAATTACTAATACACCCCCGGACTCTATCGCCGTCGGATGTATCATGTATGAGAAGTAGTCCGGGTGAACACGCTTTGGTAAATATATCCGACGGTTTAGTTTGAACCGGGAGACATTGGGCTTGGTGCAAGAAACGCACTGGAAATTTTTCTCGTAGTTTTTGGCTTTTGTAAACTTTGCTATTAAATAAAGGCAAAATACACTTGCATAGCCAAAACTTTCACCTTTGTGACACTTATAGCCACATTTGGCGAAATACCACTAATAGCCACTTCCGTCCGATTCTTTAACGCTGTTAGCGTTAAGTGTGACTGGGCAAACGGAAGGGCTTACGTGGCGAGCTCTTTTACTCTGTAACTGTCCACGTGGATAATAATTAATTAAAAAAATTAACTGAACAGAAATAAAAAAAAACCCTCAAATTTGAAATGAAGTAAACATGGAAATCAAAAGGCCATCCCGTCACAAAAAAAGAAGAAGCCATCTTCGGATCTTCCCAACTTTTCGATCATGGAAAATCAAAAAGCCATCCAATTAAAACCTTGCCATCTTTCCCAACTTTTCGATCTTGGAAAGCAAAAAGCCATCTTCCCAGAAGATGCAATGGAAACCTTGCCCGAGAACTAGTTGGGGATGGCATCCCTAACCTCAACGATGAAGTGCTGCTCCACCTCCCCGACATCTCGGTTTTCTGCCTCCTTCAATGGTGCTGAAGTTGGTGACGCGCTGGAAGTGGGCGCGGCGGCGGCCACCTGTAACTATGGTTGTTAGATCTCTGCGCCCAGCGACAATGCGCACTCCAACTCGTCGGCAGCTGTGCGCTATGGAGACCAAGACTAACAGAGGCGATGGTGGAGGCGGCCATGGGGGCACGGTATTTTGAAGCCTTGGTGTCGCCGCCGTCAAGTCTGTCTGCGATGTTGGCCCGTCTTCCTCGGTCAGGAGCGACTGCTCGCGGGTGTTCTTGGCTTGGATGGTGGTCTTGGATATGTCGGGATTAAAATCGGCAGCGACGGCAGTGGCTATGGAGTTTGCCAAGAACACGATTGAATCTGGGTTTTTGATCGGGTGTGCGACGGCGGATCTGGGAATTGGGCGGAAGCCCATCTCCTATTCTTTGTTCCCTCTTCATCTCATCTTTCCCACCAACCAGCTGCAATCCCAGCTTCAATTGTAGTCACCGCCACCAAGTTGCATGTCCGGAAGATTAATCGGTGGAGGGGATTCGCCTGGGGAATGAAAAAGCTTGGAAAGAACCCTAATTTGGGGAGGTCGGATTTGGGGAAGATGGGTGCGGTGGTGCGAGCAGATGGGGTATACGAGGGTAATTTTTTTTAATTTATGATATATAAATATTAAATAATTAAAATATCCGGTGTGTCCCTATTTGCTTATGTGGTGCTGACGTGGCTGATGATTTGGCGCCTCGTCAGCCGACCGTCAAATAAGTTGACGGAGTTATTAACACCGTCATAGTTTCTAACGGAAATGGCTATATTTGGCACGCAACATCTTTCAAAAGTGGCTATTAGTGGTATTTCGCCAAAAGTGGCTATAAGTGGCACAAACGTGAAAGTTTTGGCTATTCAAGTGTATTTTGCCTTAAATAAAAGGACGGGATACAATAAAGGTTAATAGCTTAATTTGACCCGAAGTTTAGCGTAAGTGACAATTTTGGTCCCATTTTTTAAATAAGACGTTTATGGCCTACTTTTGAAATTATTGGACAAATTTGGCCCAAAATTTTCTTTGATCGTTAATACTAACGATCAAACACTATTCCGTTAGAGACTCAGCAAACAATCACCGATGTGGCATGCCACATCACTAAATAATATTATTTTAATTTTATAATTCAATTAAAATAAATATTAGCAAATTAATAAAATCCTCTTTATCCCAAAATCCCCAAATCCAAACCCTAGGACGCTCCACCGCCGCTTCTCCATTTCTTCGCCGACCCAAATCCAAATCCCCTCTTGTTACATGCTCTGCACTATACTTCTGTTTTTTAGGCTTGGACCAGAGCTTACCATACCCCATTAAACAATCCAACATGGAAAGATCCACAAGGATGAGAGCAATTCCAGGACGGTGGGAGGAGAATCCACCCCATCTCGTTACTTCCCCTTCTCTCATGAATTTCCAGCATCCATTCTCGACGCTTCTTTCTCCTTCTACCTCTTGCCCACGAACCCGATTGACGATTCCGTCGAGATCAGCATTTTCGACTCCACCAAGTACTTCAACGGCGAGGATGACAATCCCAAACTCCGAAATAGAGTATCTCTTGTTGTTGGTAATGGTAATAACTCCGGTATCGTCGTTTCCGATCCGCCCAGATTCTCGACCGCTTCCTAGTCGGTGGATGGGTATGGATACGCCAGCCGGAGACCAAGCCGGGTTGTTCCACGCCACGCCACAACTTCATCGGAAGCAAACTGGAATAGCCAGACCGGCTATGGCCGAACCCGCCGGGAGAGAGAGGAAGGGAGCGAGCAGCGGGGGAGAGAGAGGAAGGGATGGAGCCATTGAAGTTGTTGGAGTGGAGGCTGAGGTGGCGGAGCTGGGCGAGTGGCTGGAGGAAGAGCAAATGATGCTGCGGCAGTCGCAAGGGGCGAGTGGGATGGAAGGGTCCCAGCCGTCCAGGGCACCAAGTGGGTCGTGGAGGGCGAGCTTGAAGGCGGTCAAGGCTTGGAACTCGACGGTGGGGACGACGACGGTGGTGTCGACTGCGAGGAGGAGAAGGGGAGGATAAAGTGGAGGCGGCGGAAAAAAATGAAATTAGGGTTTGGATGGGCTTTGGGGATTTTGGATAATAAGAGGGCTTCAATTTTATATCTTATTTTTACTTTAACCGAATAACAAAATTAAAATAATATTATTTAATGATGTGGCAAGCCACATCAGCTACTTTTTGATGAGTCACTAACGGAATAGTGTTTGACCGTCAATATTAACGGTCAAAGAAAATTTTGGGCCAAATTTGTACAATAGTTTGAAAAGTAGGCCATAAATGTCTTATTAGAAAAGTCGGGCCACAATTATCACTTACGCCAAACTTCGAACCAAGCTAGGGTATTAACCCTACAATAAAACACTAAATGTGTTGTTATAATAACAATAGTGGTAAAAGGGTCACATTAACCCAAAATTAATAAAATAAAAATTAAATTAATTCTCTTTCTCGGCTCACGCGCTCTCTTCCTCTTCAACAAAAATTGCTCCCAGTTTCATATCTGTATTTCATTCTCCGGCAACGGTTGTCTTTCTCCTTGATTGTAGTGATAGGCGTGGAATCGAATGGAATACCCATTCTACTTAACTTGCGGCACCTGTGGGTGACTAGTGGAAGGTTTTTGAAAACTTGGCGAGCCCATCACAAATCCTTGAAGTGCATTGCTTTCTCTAATGACGATTTCATTCTTATATCTGGATCGGATGATGGGATTATTAATGCATGGTCATTGGTCAGTAATTGGGTAAGGCTGAAACATTTTGCTCCTGGATTCCTCTCCGATTGTCAAGAATTGAATCACTTATACTTCACTGCATTTACATATAACAAGCTTGTTCTAGTAACCATTTCTCTTCAAGAATGTACTTTGGGAACTGGTTTGGTTGCAGGGAAGCGATGTAGCGACGTGGAGTACATCCCTTTTCAATTTGTAATTATAATATTTTTGTTTTATTTATTTTACTTTATTGTGAAAATGAGTGAAATAGTATAAAATTAATATTTATTTTATTTATTATTTTTTAATTGCCACATCATTGAGTTAACTGTCAACTTTGAGAGTTGACTGTCACATCAGACAAATTTAACGGAGTTGGACGGAGAGTGACCAAACTTGAACCATTTAACTAATTTAAGTGACCAAGATTGGATTTAAATATTTCCAGTGACCAAACATGAACGTTTTTTGTTATCTCAATAATCAACCATGCAATTAACCCGATTTCAATAGCTTGTTATGTCGATTTGTAATTGTTTAGCCCCAAGAGAAGAGCTATTTGTCAAGTTTGTTTCCAATTTGTTTCTGATAAATCAAACCACACGTAAATTATAAACACACATAAAAAAAACCTTGTAATGAAACCAATAAATCTTCTAAAACATACCAGAACACCATAAAATACACCACTAATGTTTCTAAAGCACACACGAAACCTCATAATGTAGACTACAAATCGCCTAAAACATACTAGAAACACCACAAAGCAAATCACAAATATTTCAAAAGCACACCATAAACCTCCTAATGTAGACCACAAACACGGTAAAACAAACCACAAAACGCATACCAGAAACCTCATAATGCAAACCAAAAATCCCCTAAAACATACCAGAAACTCCACAATGCACACCACAAATATTTCGAAAGCACACCAGAAAAATCATAATGCAAACCACAAGCACGGTAAAGCAAACCACACTAAAGCAAACCAGAAACGTCCTGATGCAGACCACAAATCTATTAAAACAAATCAGAAACCCCGCAAAGCAAACCAGAAATTTTTTTAAAGCACACCAGAAACTTCTTAATGCAAACCAGTAAAACGATCAAACAAACCACAAATAGCATACAAAAAACACGAGAAACCGAACCTTCATAATACAGACCATAAAATCCGGTGGTCATTGACCAAACTCCAATGACCGTGGGTGACCAGATTCCGGCACCGAAAAGCATATTCCGGCCTCGATGAGTAGATTCCGACGCTGGTAAGCATATTCTGACCTCGGTGGTCATATTCCGGCGACAAAATAGCATATTCCAGTGTCAAACATATTCTGGTGACTGACGGACAGATTCCGGCAACCGATGGTCGAATTTCGGCGATGAAATTTTTGGCATAAAATAAAAAATATTTTTTAAATATTTAATTTATTATTATTTAAACATAATTTTCATAATGACAATTATGTCCTTTCTTTGATTTTACACTAGGTCAACCTAACAATAAAAAGTCATCACAACCCTATCTTTCTGTTGTTGGAGACTAGTGTTGTCACCCTATCTAGTCCTTTAAATAAAAGGGGTTAATTGCATTGTTGGTCACTGAGATTACAAAAAACGTTCAAGTTTGGTTACTCGAAATATTTAAATCCATTGGTGGCACTTCACTTTACAAAAACCGTTCACGTTTGATCACTCTCCATTAGCTGCCGTCCATCTCCGTTAAATGAGCCCGTTAAGTGGTGGCGTGGCGCACATAATCGTCTAATTAGCACTAAAACCCGAAAATAGTCTTACCCGACCCGCCACATCATTGAAACCCTCGACTAAAGCAATCGATCCACTACTATCAATCTATGGTGCTCTATTGACCTAATCAGGTATTCACTCTCATAGGATCAAAGCAGAATCAATAATCTCGACTAAAGCATAATTGAATCATGAAAAAATGCATAGATTGAATATGAACTCAAGATTATCAAGTAAGAGTACTCATACAATCATCCAATCAAACAAACATAGCTAGGGTTCCTCAAATCCTAAGTGAAGGGAAGTTACTCCATAGAGAAGAGAGAGACTACAGTAAGAATCTTTAGATGATCAGTCTTCAAGTCTGGGCTTGTTCCTCGAGCTTCCAAGGCGAAGAAATCCTCCAATTCCACTCTTAGAATGCCCTCAAATCGCCCTCTCTCTGGTTCGTCCCTTGGGTGTTTGGGATCCAAAACCCAGCCCCCTCCTTCCTTTGGCTTCAATCTGCCTCAAAAACCCGATTCTGGGCAAAACACGGTCAAGGACACGGCCGTGTTTTGCTTTTGCCCGTCCGTGCCCTTGCCACGTGTTAAAAAGACGTCTGCGTCGGCCAAAACACGGTTGTGCCTAAATATGGACACGACCGTGTTTTTCTAAGACGTCCCCTATCTCTCTCAATGCGAGTACTAGACTCAAGCCAGGATCATGAGAAGAAGTAGAAGTAAGACAGTCAGTTCATGGATAAAGGGACTCACACCATTCACAACCAATGACTCGTTGTACCGGGGTGCTCTTTCACTTCATTTCACCGTTGGAACCCCTTTCTCACTTTCATTTTACTTTTTTTTTCTTTTCTTTTCATTCACTTGGTGGGGGTTCCAACTGCAGTCTTTTGCACGGTCGACCCTTATTAGTCGAGCAAGAGCAATTTCTGTACATCTGGCGCTCGCCAGAGTACTTCTTTTAACTCCTTTTCCTCAACTGTGTAGAGGGTCAATGAAATTAAGGGGGGTCGGAAGCTCTATCCGTGACCTTAAAAACACATCCTCAAGTAGGCAAACCGTTCAACGGGTGGAAGTTTTACTTGTACTAGAGACAGCTTAACTTCACCTTGTAGTAGTACCCCATTAAGGATCACTAAAATCTCCTCCAAAACCCGATTTTGTGAAATGAACGGTGCCAAACACGTTGGGCTTACCCCATGTTTGACATTTCAATGATTTCGACATGGAGGACCAATAACTCACTCCTACTGTCACTCTAGAAAATGGCCAAGTGTAACCACTTCCTAAAGCGTAGTATAGCGGGGTTGGGTTTTAATGTCAACCCGGGCCCTAGATGTCATGACTACTCAGCGAATTCTTATTATCTAGCGGTGAAACTTTAGTGCAGGTTCAATTAACCAAACAAGCAAAGCAATTAAACGGTTGTTTCAAGTCGAGAGAGGTCACCCGGATATGGTTCCTCCTAGACTGAAGTCAAGCCCGATTGCAATACCAAATTCAGTTTTAATGATAGTTATACCGCGGGAGGTTCTTAAGCAGTCTGAAGTCTCGACTAAAGGTCTCCAAACCCTCTCAATCTAAGTCCCCAACGGGCGACTAACCTCCACCGGAGTAAACAGATTGAGGCCCTAACGAACCAAACCTCCACTACCGAAGTAAATTCGGTACAGAATAGTGAATTGGCTCCTCGACTAAAGTCGCCAATTCACTACCTTCAATTAAAGGTGCTCTATCAACCTAGGCAGATATTCTCTCTCTAGGCTAAAGCAGAAATAACAGGAATTTGATCAGGATTCAAGTCATTCAATCATTCAAGCCTCGATTGAATATAATCAAATCATAGAATCTGTACTTGGGTTCATATAATCAGACCTAACATACAAATCTAGGGTTCTCCATACCCAGATGAATGGGAAAACTACTCCATGGAGAGAGAAGCAAAAGCAGATTCAGATGCGGAAACCATACTGTGAAGGATGGGTTTATGCTCCTGGTCGTCAATCGGCACTTCTCCAAGCTCAAGCTAGGGCACTTGGGAACTCTGGTTCATCGCTTTCTCTCTCTAGGAAGCGCTCTGTCTCTCTAAAACTCGGAACTCCCTTCTCCTCTGCTGAAAATTGGCTTAAAACCAGAAAATCCCGACTCACACGGCCAGGCCACACGACCGTGTGACATCCCCAGCTGCCCGTGTGAGTTGTGAAAACCGCAACATTTTGATAAGTGGCTTCAGGCTTCCTACACGGCCACGACCCACACGGCCGTGTGGCTTCCCAGGGTGCCCGTGTGAGTTCCCTGGAATTTCCACACGGCCATCAGGGGTCCCCTACACGGCCGTGTGGCTTTTAGGCATGCCCGTGTGGCTTCTCAGCTTCTCGCCAAACGTTCAAACTTCGTCCAATCGACCCCGAACTCATTCCTAAACCTTCATTCACGTACTAGTACCTGAAATATCACAAACAAGAACAACCTAGCGTGAAATCGGCCTAAAACGCGAGAATCGACATCTCAAACGGCTCAAGGATAGGGGTAAAAGCATGTCTAATCAATGGTCTATAAAACTCCCCCACACTTAACCGTTTGCTTGTCCCCAAGCAAATCTAACTCAAACCAATGCAACTCTCC